GATTTCATTTTGTCTTTAATTATGTGCATATGAGTGTGGGTGCCTGTGGAGGCTAGAGGCATCAGATCCCTCTGAAGCTGGAATCTGAGGCAGCTGGCAGCTGCCCAGTGTGGGTGCTGGGAACCAAACTTGGGTCCTCTGGAAAAGCAACGAGCATTCTCAACTGCTGAGCCATCTCTCCAGCCCCTTTATCTAATTTTTTGAGGCAGGGTCTGTCGCTTAACCTAGAGCTTGTGAATTCATTACGAGTGGCTGGCCAGGCAAGCCCCTGGGACCTTCCTGTCGCTGCCTCCCAGCTCTAGGATTAGAGCGTGCCTCTGTTCCTGGCCTTTTGAATGGGTCCTTAAAGACCCACACTTGGGTCTTTATACTTGGTGCATACCTACTTGTATTCACTGAGCCCTTTCCCTTCACCCCACCCCCACCTCTGTGAGCTGGGGATTGAACCCGAGGCTTCATGGCTGCTTGGAATGTGCTCCACCACTAAGTATTATCTCCAGTCTTTGCTTTTACAACAGCGTCTTGAACTCTTTCTGTAGCCCAGGCCAGCCTTGAATTTGTGATCTTTCTGCCTCAGTCTCCCAAGCAGCTGGAAACATAGGCCTGTGCTACCAAGCCAGGCCTGAGATGTTACCTGGTGTTTGTTACCTGGTGAAAGGAACCCAAGGTTTGGCTTGCCATGGGGTAAGTTATGTGTAGAACAGGAGGCCCCTCTCTACCAGACTGCCAGTGCTGGGTGCCAGAGGGGGCAGGGCCTGTGGCACATCCCCTTTAAGTCTTCGAGGCAGGCAGAACTAGCCAGTAAGGGAAGCCCGAGGTTCCATCACTGTCAAGGTCACTCATCAGATGGAGGCCAGAGGCTGGACCCAAACCCAGGCTGACCCCTCCAAAGCCCCTCTGTCCCATGACACTGGGCTTCTGTGGCCCTGCTACTATGCAGCCAGACTGTTCTTCCCAATCCAAGAAGTCAAAGGCAGTATGACCAGAGCCCAGCACCTCTAGCATAACTCAGGATGCTAGGGGAGAAACACATTAAGAGTGTTTGATGCCCCCTCTTGTATTTTTACCACATCTTAGAAAAATAAAGATTTGCAGCCAGGCGGTGGTGGCACACACCTTTAATCCCAGCGCGCAGGAGGCAGAGGCAGGTGTATCTCTGTGAGTTCAAGGCCAGCCTAGGCTACAGAGTGAGTTACAGGAAAGGCGCCAGAGCTACACAGAGAAACTCTGTCTCGGGGGGGGGGGGGGGGGGAGAAAAAGAAAGATTTGCTTTAAATGGTTTTATTAAAAACTGTACCAGTTGATGAGGGAGAGGATATTTACACATGTATACATGTAAAGAACAAAAAAGCCAATTATGTACAGGTTAAAAAATAATGGTCCCCATTCCTCTCCTTAAGGCAGAATGCCCAGACCCCAGGACAACCAAACTGGGGGTGAATGAAATGCTACATCTTACTGGGTCTCCCTGTCTGTTCCTGTGGACCCAGAGACGGAGTGGACCGTCTGTAGAAAGAGGGCCAGTGCAAGCCTGGGGCCGCATACCTCATAGCACCGTGGCCAAAGCTAGGCATGTATGGAAGAGCCCAGCTTTGTTCTGCTGTTCCCTCGAACCTCTGTCCCGCGGGGCTGCAGCTAGCTCACAGGAACCCCAGGAAACGTAGAACACCTGTGGGTCCACCCTGTCCTACCAGGGTATCAGGCCAGGATAGCCTGCCTCCACTGGTCCTCATCTTCATAGAGCCACAGTTTGTCCCACCAGGAGGATGGTGGTCACGGTACTGACTCCTCAAAGTCCTGCAGAGCCATGAGGACGGGCGGCTTTGGCTACTCCATGTACCTGTACCCCACTCCATTTCAAGTCTCCAGAAAGGAAAGCTCTCGTTGGAGCACTCTTCTCCTAGCTGACCAGGATGGTCATAGTGACTTCACTGCCTAGTTCCTGGAAAGCTTGGGGCAGACAGGGGCCTGGCTAGATTGTCTCCCATACCCACTCCCCGCCATTCTCAGGGTTGGGCTTGGGTCTGTGGCTGGGGCTGCAAGGCAGGCCAGCTGGGCCTCTCCAGGCCCTGGCAACAAGCTCTGCCACATAGCTCTGGACACAGCCCACCCCTTGGGGCCTGAGGGAGGTCACCGGGAGGTGATCTTTTTCCACCTCTGATTGAGCAAGACAAGGCCACTGGGGACAACCACACAGCATAGACAGACTTTGAAACAGAGACACAGGGCCAGGCCGAGAGCCTCCACCCCCACCCCCCTGCCCCAGCCTCACTGGGGAGTCAGTAACTGGATGGGGTGGGGGATGCTCCTTTCCAGATCTGTTCACTGGCTTCTAGAAATGCCTACTTGGAATTGTGAGTTAGGAGAGCAGTTTGGCCTCTGAACATTGGGCTTGTGTCCCTCTAGGGCATTTCTATACTGAGTTTTCCAGCCTCTCCCCCACCCCCATCCTCAGCACACCACAAAAGCCCACTGCCTTCAGCTGGTTACAGGTCATCACACAGGTCAGACTTTCCCTCCCTCTAAGTCTGAATCTCTGCTCCTCACTGGAGACAGCCAGGCTCCTGGAATTGGAGAGAGGCAATGGGGAGGGGCTGGCTGTCCTGGAGCTGGACTGGGAGACTATAAAGCCAATTCACAAGGCAGACATCACTGGCCAATTAAAGCAACCAGCCAGGGGGAACCTCTGCCTCTTGGGGCTGGGCTGCCAGCTACCTCCTAGGGCTTGTGGTGGTGGTGCTGGGGGTGGGGCAGAGGGCTATGTTCCTGTTTATTTATATTTTACAGTCCCAGGGATCCATCCAAGGGTCTTTTGACTGCTAGGCAAGCACTCTACCATTGATCTTCAACCCCAGCCTGGATTCACGTTGGAGGAAGATAAAAGAGGCTTTAAATTTCACCCTGGCTCGCCCAAGTTAGTGAGTTTGGTCCTGGCTAGGTCCAAAGTGGAGGCAGTGCATTCCAACCAGCTTCCACCTGACCCCAGACTCAATGTTCAGGTTAAACTCTGGGCTCAGTTCTCAGGACAGACCACAGGGCACCCAGCCTGTGCCTGGCAAGGTCTCTAAAGCTGACCTCTGTGCCCTGGCACAGACAGATATAAAGTCTGCTAAGAGGTTTTAAAGATGACTTATGTACATGGTTCTGTAGGGGGGTGGCACACATATACCACAGCACATGTGCCAAGCACATACCAGAAGCCTGCCTGTCATAGCCTTGCTCCAGAAAAGTGGAGGACCACCTATGTCCCCCACACATCTAAACTGCATGGGAGAGATATAGGAAGGCTGGGCTTCACAATGGTAAGTGTGCCCCAGAACCAATCTTCATACTCATTAGTTAGGTCCCTTCTCCTTGCAAACAGGAACCCACCTTCTCAGCAGACGAACCATGGTATACACCCTGAGAAAATGATTGTGGCCAAGAAGAGGTAATATCTCCAGATCATCTGAGCAGAAAAACACAAAGGCTTATACACGTATTTTGAGGTCCTTCGCAGGCAGGGCCGTTGTGAGTGCATACAGTACCTTTGTGTAGATTAGGAAAGACATCCCTAACTCTGAGCAGATCAGCCCCACATCAGGACATCCAGCCTCGAGAGCCGAGCACGAGCTGGACTTCAGCCTCTGCGATGCCCTCATACCCTTGTGCGGTGGAAAACCTGTCCAGCTGCATACCCAGGACTGAAGACACCCCGCACCCCCTGCAGAAATGAGAGTCACTGGGCTTGTTCAATCTGAGTCTGCTCTGAGCTCCTCCTCCAAATCCGTGAATGACCCTGCAGTCTTCTTTGCTCGGGGAAGCCATCTTTCCTTTGAACCCTGTCTTTAGCACCCATGTCTTTCCTTACAGAGAGAAAGATTATGACTTGATTTCCAGGTGTCGGGTTAGGAGATGCCCTGTGATGAAGGCCAGCCGCTTTCAGTCCCCTCCCTGAGTGCTGCAGCAGGGAGAGAAGGAAGAAGTTCAGAGGCAGCTGAGATCCCGCCGGGCTCAAGAACTCTCTCTTCCGGCCTCGCTGGAAGCTGAAGGAAGGTAGGAAATGTGTCCCCAGCTCTGCGGGTTCCGTGTTCTAAACGCCCGCCCTCCGTTACTTCCAACGTCACTTTTCAGCTGACAAAGCCACTGTCCTAGCTTCTTCCGGTATCCCACTAGGTACGAAAAAAGGAATGGGGATAAGGGGGAGGAGGTACACGTTTCCAAGGAAACCAAGAGGTCTAGGCTCCCCTGGGGCTGACTGATCAGTGGGACGGCTGCTCCATTCCCACGCCCCCTGCGAATGCACCCCATCTCAGAGTGCTGCTGCCAAGGTGGGTGTCCAGTCCAATCCAGTAGTTGGCAGGGTCTTTGGGAGACAGCCGACAGAGGCACAGGCCGCTGGGCACAACGCGATGACGCCCGGCTTCTTGGCGCACACTCGGCTGACACCCAGGCAGCCGAGGTGGCAGTAGTTTGCGCCCTGGGACCAATCGAGGGGCTTCCATGTGGGACCAAGTCAGACTTGAGACCTGTCAAGCTTGACTCCATTTTGAGGCACCTTTGAGAGGTTCTTGGAGAAGTCCAACCCTCCCTGAGGTCTTCTGGAGGTGACAGGATCTGGGTAACAATCCCTGAGCCCATGCGGTGGGCACTGGCAGTGCCAAGTGGGAACCCAGACACAGGGCTGGCTAGCCAAGGCATGGCTGTTCTCAGCCAGGAAGCCCCTGACCAAGGTCCTGGTGGGTTAAAGCTGTGTTTCCGTCAGGCATGAGGGAAGGCTGACACATTTGGTGGTACTGGGGGGGGTCTAACCTGGCCTCTTATTTCCTAACCGGCTCCAGTAGGAAAGCCTCAGTCCACTTCCTGGAGAACATCACCATCGTCAGAGTCTTAGGAACTCCACCAGCAGACACAGCCGCCCCTCCTTCAACAGTGTTTGACAAAGGCCCCCCATTCCCAGTGGGGGTTCTGAACAGAAAAGAAGATCCCACTGGGGTATGTTATATGTACACACAGGGAAAAAAATTAAAAATAACCAAACTCGACAAGACAGTGTCCGTCTCCCAGATGACTGTCCTGTTCCAGACTGCGTTCCTGGTGCTCCATCCAACAAGGGCCACCCAGCCTCACCAGGGACCCGCCCCTTCCCTGTTTTCTTCTCTGTTCAAGGCCAGGTTTTGCAGGAAGAGGAAGACCTGCCACCATGCACGGTCTCGGTTCTGCTGGTGCTGTAAGGGAAAGAGATGACCGTTAGGTGCCAGGCACCAGCTTAGAGCACAGGCTCCTTCCTGGATCCCAAACAAGCTTCCATTGCCAGATCTCAGGCTGGCACCGTTTTGCCATCCGGCAACCTGGGGGGACACGGGACAAAACTCCAAAGACAGCTCGTGTTCGGGAATTAAAAACACTAGGCCGGGCTGTGTGGACTGTGACGGGAGGATCGGACTTTCTCCCCTGCTCGCAGGATTTTTCCAGAGTTTAGCCAAGTACTGCTTTTAATCAGATTGGCTCCTGAGCACACACACACACACCCCACACCCCAAACTCAGCTGCATGAACAACAATCTTGCTTGAGCGAGAAAGACAAGAGTCCCTCCCTCTCCCCCATTCCAAAGGAACACAGAGAACAAGAGAGGGAAGGGGGGGAGCCTCCATCTGCAAGTGATTTGACACTGTGAAGGTCAAAGGGTTAATCTTCAATTTAAACCACACTGCTGAGGCAGCAAAAATCTGATTTCATCCAGTACAAACACACACACAGACATACAGACACACACACACACACACACACACACACACACACACACTTGTATGAGAGAGCCTGCCTTCTCCCCCCTTCAGCATCCCCGGCTCTAGGCTGCCCTTTTTATAGCCGCTTTTGACAGTAAGCCATAAATAATCCCTCTTGGCGTTCTTTCCTACTGACTGGAGCCAATTAAACGTTAAGCAAGAACACACTAGAAAACAAAACAAAAACAAAGAATGCACACCAGCTCTGGAGGTTATCCCAGGTCCTACCGGCAAGCTGGGAAGCTAGGGGGCAAAGGTCAGAGGTCAGACGCACCAAGGTTTCTGGCTGCCGTCCTGTCCATACAGGTACCATTTCCCAGAGGCCAGCAGAGGCCTGAAGGGGACAAGGGAGTGCTGGAAGAGGAGGTCTTTGTTCTCTCCTTGGCTGCCAGGGGAGGAGGACAGGCTGGGGCCTCTCCACGGGGTTCTTAGTGGACAGGGAAATAAAAACCTAGTGTGCAGAAAGGGGGCCAGCACAGGCTAGATTTAGATTCCTTCAGTGGCCCAGTCAGCAAGCAAGTTTATGTGAAGTGTCTGGGGGTGAGGTGATCCTCTCAGCTGTCTTTAACCACAACCACCAGCCCCTACCAGGTAACTCCTACTCACACGGGGGCGGGGGGTGGGGGGGGGGGGAGGGTAAGACAAGCAGGTTTCCTGGACTCCTGGAACTTCCAAGTTCCATCCAGCCTCAGGTTTCCCCAGTAGGCTGTGGGTCCCCTCCCCACCGCCCTCAGGCACAAAGAGAAATACGGTGTCCAACTAAGGTTGACACAGACCACCCCACATCCACGGCTATGTGTCCAAGGGAGGGTGGAGAATCAGCGAGTGAGTCGTAGGCACAGTGCCCGCCAAGCGGGTTAAGGGAAGTAGGGTGTGCCACAGAGAAGCCTGGCAGAAGGTGCTGGGGAGATGGACGGCTTCCTGGTGTTTTGTAAACAAAGATGAGTAAAAAGAGGAAACACAAGGCTTAACAAAGTCTCGTTCCAGTAGAGCAGCCTGAACTTCAGCTGCAAAGCTAGAGACCCAGGCCGGCAGCAGCTGGGAGGACTCCCGCCACCATGCCTCCCCAGCTGCCGAGTCCTCCCAGCTGCTGCCCACAACAGGTGCAGAGGTCATGAGTAGAACAGGAGACCCCGGGAAAAGACAGGTCCCTGGAGAGGCCAGTCTGCCGGCATTGTGAATCGCCTCAGGTACCTGTTTGAAAAAGCCAAGTGACAATACCAACTATGATTTCCAACAGTAACAGAAACAGACTGTGGTGATCCCATATGGAGCACTCTACAGTCCTTCTTCTTCTTCTTCTTCTTCTTCTTCTTCTTCTTCTTCTTCTTCTTCTTCTTCTTCTTCTTCTTCTTCTTTTTTATTTGAGATTTTTCTACATTTTACATATCAACCACAGATTCCCCTGTCCTCCCTCCTCCCGCCCCCCAGCCTCCCCCCGCCCCGACCCACCCAGCATTCCCACCTCCTCCAAGGCAAGATCTCCCATGGGGAGTCAGCAGAGCCTGGTACATTCAGTTGTGGCAGGTCCAAGCCCCTCCTCCAGGCAGTGGGATGGGGACCTGTCCCTAGTGCATGAGCCGGCTTTCTGGAGCCTAGTGTCCAAGGTGAGACTCTAGGCGCAGCCTTGGTGCGGTCCTGCTTCTTAAGGTGTGGTTCCCCAGGACAGCAGCCTCAGCACCATCAGGGATGCTCGATAGAAATGCAGACCCCCTCGACTCAGAATGTGCGTTTTCAACAAGATCCCCAGAATTCTGAGGTTCAAGGTAGAGAATAAAAAGCATTCTTCTGTTTATGTTAAGACCCATCGCCTCCCTACGCCCTCTGGAATGGGTCTGTATTATCATGCCCAGAACTAAAGATCTCATCCAGTCATCACATGGCTAGTCAGGGGCAGGGACCGGCTAGAACCCAGAGCCATATCCCTACTTAAGATCACTGTGCATCATGTGCCACCAGCTGTCTCTCACTGTGCCAGAGAAGAGCTGCCATCTTCCCTTTAGTACATCATCTCAAAATAGCATGATGGCTAAGGAAGGAGACCATGATTCTACGATCCAATGCCTGCACCAGCCCTATCTCCGTATGCCCTGGCTTCTCCCAAATTCGGTCGATGGAGGTCATTTGCTCAGATCCCCAGGTCCTTTGGGAGTGAGACAAGGAAACAATCTCACCCCATCATTTAGAGTCAGAGAAGCATGTGTGAGCTGGTGAGTGGTCAGTCAGGAGGGAGGAAGACTTTCAAGGGCTGGGGACAGGCATGAGTGTGGATGGTGGTGCACACACAGGCCAGCGCCATGCCTTTGCTCTGAGTTTTCAGGGCTCGCGACCTAGCAAGAAGGCACTAAGGGAGCTAGTTAGACCCTCAGATCAGGAATCAGTCGGGCTTTAGGCTGAATCTCTCACTCCCTGTTTGTGAAAACTCACACTGGTGTTATATTAGATCTATAACTTCCAAACCCAACCACGTCACAAGACAGAGTGTCCCAGCCCCACCCATACCAACAAGGTCAGAATGTTCAGGGAAGGGACCCAGGAATTTACATGCTGAACAAACTCCATTAGTAACAGTCTAAAAATCAGAAGAGGCAGACAGGCTGGATATCTCGGTGGTTAAAAGTGTATACTGCTCTTGCAGAGGACTGAAGTTTGGTTCCCAGCACCCACATCAGTGGCTCACAACCACCTCTAACTCTAGCTCCAGGAGACCTGATGCTGTGGTTTCCAAGGGCTCTTGCATCCCCATGCACATAATGCCCTCCCACACACACATAAACACACTGTGGTGGTTTGAAAAAAAAATGGCCCCCAAGGGGAGTAGCACTATTAGGAGGTGTGGCCTTGTTGGAGGAAGTGTGTCACTGTGGGGGCGGGCTTTGAGGTCTCTTTTGCTCAAGCTTCCCTCAATGTGACATTCAGTGTACTTCCTGCTGCCTTCTGGTCAAGATGTAGCCAACACCACCTCTGCCTGCACACCGCCATGCTCCCCACCATGATGATGATGGATTGAACCTCTGAAACTGGAAGTGAGCCACCCCCAATGAAATGTTTTCTTTATAAAAGTTGTTGTGGTCATGGTGTCTCTTTGTAGCCATAAAAACCCTAACTAAGACACACACACATAATTAAAAATAATGAAAATAATATATATATATTTTTTAATCAGAAGGGGGCTGGAAATGAAGCTCAGTGGTACAGCACTTGCCTAGCACACATGGAGGTCCTGGGTTCAATCACCACAAAAATAAAGGGAAGAAAGAAAGAAAGAAAGAAAGAAAGAAAAAGAAAGAAAGAAAGAAAGAAAGAAAGAAAGAAAGAAAGAAAGGTCGGAAGGGAAATGTATTGTATATTTAAATATTCCTTGTAAAAACATCATAAAACACAAGCAATTACAGGGGAGGATATCAAAGCTACTACTGATCCTATAACCTAGAAGAAAACACTGCACAGCTTGGCACCTTCTTCAATGCCTTTTAACCTCTTTCCATCAAACCAATGTCTTACCCTGGTGGCCACACCAGAGGTGGATCCTGCCAGGTACTTCTGCAGCAGCCAGGCCACAGACAGCCTTCTGGAAACCACTGAGGTACTTTCCAACCCCAAGGAGTTTGTGACCACAATTGCCTTCAGGAGCAGAGCACAGCACAGTGCCAAGGGCTCAGCAGCGCTTGAGCAGGCCTGGACACTGGCTGGGGAGGCTTGGCAGCCCGACCCTGGGACCCTGAGCACTCCCAGGACATAAACCAAGCCTGCAAATACTGCGCTGAGGTTTCTCCCGCACACCCCAAAATGGAAAGCAAGCTCCCACACACCAAGAGTCAAAGAGTACCCTGATTACAAGGAGTAACAACAAACAAAATATTTCGACAAGTCAAACAAAAGAGACTAATGAGAAAGGAAAGAAAAAGGACTTGAAAGGAAGCCAGAGAGAGAAACTGTGAGGAAGGAAGTCAGCCTCTACCAAACAGGATGAAGGATACAAAGACACCAAAAACAACAGACAGCACGGGTCCTTCCAGAGGAGGGAGAGGGAAGGGGGACCTCTGAGTCTCAGGCACCCGGCCAGGCACTCAGCATAGAATCTATCACTGAGGGCAAACTCCTGGAACAGGGCCCAGCTCTCCCATGTGTGCCTCAGCCTGGGAGCTCCCAGAAACCACCAAGAGTGACCCAAAGATGAGAGATTGGGAAGGGGGAATGAAACACCCCAAAGCCTTCCCACTCACCAAGCTTTAAACCCAAGGGTGGAAGGAAAGAATAGAAAATGTTCAAGGGGGCTGACTAAATGACTCAGCGGATAAGGGTGCTTGCCACCAAGCCTGATAGTCTGAGTTCAAGTCCTAGAACCCACAGGGCATGACAACAAATGCTTTTAATCCCAGCACTCAGGAGACAAAGACAGGTGGATCTCTGCATGCCTGGTTTATACAGCAAGTTC